TAGAATGTTAGTTTTGTCTGTGGAAAGTTGGATTTACAACTTATTTGCCTACTGAGTCCATAATAGCTAGGCTGGCATCATTGGGCTGTTGATGGCGGTGCCAATATAAATAAAATCCTTGACTGATTCAAAAATATAGTTCCCCCTTTATATCATTGCTAGATGTTTAGCTGTTATCTTACTCTTATTAGTGTGTCTGACTTGATTATATACCACAAATGGCGAGTCATATACATAAGTTTTAAATCACTCTTGAACAGCTAACCTTTTTAACGAAATGGCACAATCAGAAATACGTAACTTGTCATTTTCCACCGAAAACTCCTCTCTATATATCTTATACTAAATTTTTCAGTATTGGAAAACACGTTTATGGTCGAAAACTGCAATGATGTAGTGAAAATGTGCGAAAAACTCAGATTCTCTTAATGGTCGGCGACCAAATAGATGTTTCTTTCGAATATGGATATATATTTGGAAATAATTTGGAACTCTAATGTGTGTTTGCAAAAACATTGTAAGTTTAAAGTTAATGAAGAGCTCAGTGTTTTTTTTTTGCATATACGAGTTTATGCTCGTTTACAAAACCCAAACCTAAAGGTTTTTAAATGGGTTGGGATTTTTGAAGGAATGCCATGAAGTGCATATGTTGAAAAATACCGCATAAGAATCCATATAATTTTTTAATTATATATACTTATGAAACCGTTCATTAAACCTTTTTTTAAACAATTTTATCACAATTTAACTCACTGTTCCGAACATATTAGTTGCGCTTACAGCGCATGTGCTACCCCTATCCAAATAGAACGGCGCAGTAGTCAGGTAAGTCGTTTCATTCTAGTTTTGTTGTAATAGTGCTGTCATAGTCCAACTGCGCAAACGTTTTAACACGAGCCACAAAATGTTTGTATGTACACTTTTAACCACCTAAATAAAATTTATTTTACATACATACGTAAGAAATAAAGTAAAGAAAAAACTAAGTAACCCGGATAACGATGAAAAAAAAATGGAAGTTCATGTACCACACAAAAGTCGTTACCGCTTTTTAGCAGCTTTGAGGGAGAAAGAAAACTTAACAAAATAAATTATTTTTTATATAATTTATTAAAAAACTGCATAAGAAGAATGAAATTATAGTGCAATCAAATTATTGCTTTTTAAGGGTCAGAGACGCAGCCAGCGTTCGTTGAACTCTATAAGACTTCGCTATATCTTTTTTTTCAAATTAGATCTAAAGATCTAGGAAACAGAGATTCGGTAGTATGATCCGCAATCACTGACTTTAATTTGTATGTTTTTCTTTCTAAATGAGGTTCGGCTTCCTCCTTATTGAGCAACTTTTCTGGTTCATCGTGAATGTATTCAATGGAGAACAAAACAAGTAAGGGAGCGGTAAGTTCGAGCGTAACCGAACATTTCATACTCTTGCAACTTACAAGGAACAAGGCCCGAGAAATAACTTCAGGTGCTGACAAAACTTTGTATCACAAAATGTTTCGAAAGAATTCAGATTGTTTGACGAAATCGTGAATGGACTATAATCAAATTTGGTATTTTATTAAGTTATGTATACTCGTAATATGGGTCATAGACTTACTTAGTTTTGATGCTATATTATATTTCGCGTCAGCTAAAAAATATATTAAAATCATCCTTGAATGAGATATACAAGTATGAGATATAAACTCTGCCGAAGAGGCTAAATTCAATATATTAAGTTGATGTGGAAAATGTCAACTAGAAGATCGGAATTCAATTTATTGTATTAGGGATATGTGGTTTAGAACAAGGTCTAGACTAACTCCATTCGTATATAGCGCTTAACTTTTAATATAATTTTCAAGAAAACATGTCCGCTTATTTCATTAAAATATCACACATTTTGACCAACCTAAATGGCTATATATGTAGAGTATATTGGGGGCAGAGAAAGTTCTAGGCTTGTTGTATTAAACTTTGACATTGCTCAAGTATACAGAACATATTTTCAAGTAATATTGTATTGTATAAATTAATAACTCACGCACTGACCGCCATATTCAGCATAACCAAAATCGTTAGATGTAGTATATGGGAGCCGAGGTAATTCGTAAACCAATTTCACCTCTTTTCGGTATCAATCTATAGAATATCCAATATAATACGGGGCTAGGGTAAGTTTTCACCCGATTTTATTCAATTTAGGCACAGATATGCACCGTTAGAAGGAAACACGCTCACTCAATTTAATTAAGACAACTCACATATTGGCCGATAAGTGGTAAAAGACAGCCGGAAGTTCGAAAAACTTTCTATAGGATATATGGGGGCTAATTATTTATATTGACCTGATTCAACCCATTTTTGACATACAGACATACTATTATCAAAAAAGGGTTCCCACTTACTATGAACTAGTAAGAGGGAACCTATATCGCACACATTGACCCATATTTTCTGTAAAAGGTCAGCCATAGGCTCTGCACTCCACATTTCCGTTATCTGAGGGCTTGAATAGTTATGGACCGATTTTGACAATTTTTAGATCTGAGATAGCATACCTATGCACTAGGTACTATTCGTACAAAGTTGTATCCCCATATATTAATTGACGTTTGATTGATGTTAGTGGTCCGATTACGTTCATCTATAAACTCGTCATTCCAATTCGACCAAGGAACACATGTACAAAGTTTCATGACGATATCTCAATTTTTACTCAAGTTACGGCTTGCACGAGCACACGGCCGAACGGACAGACAGACATCCGGATTTCAACTCGTCTCGTCATCCTGATCATCTGTATATATGTTGGGTTTCTTAACCTTCGTCATAAATTTTGCCGGAAAGGAACTTGGGAACTATAAAATATTATTTTTTCATTCGCCTGGATTTTAAGCCTTAGCGATTGTAATTATATAAAAATTGCGGATATGTATTTTTGTAGACGATTTCAGTTTGCAATAAAAGCGTTTATACTGGATTGAAAGAAAGAGATTTACCAGATATTAAATTAGTCGCCGCCAATTGCCGTAAGACAGTTTCTAAGCAACACAGAATTCGATTATATGACTATAGGTATTATATTCAATATTTAAAAATCGTATTGGTCAGTGGAGTTGTATTGAGTTAAACATGTGATTATACAAAATCATGTCCAACGCTCTCAATTAACAAACGATAACCTCAAAAAAGTAAATAATGCTTGAAATTCAGCTTATTGGAAATAGAGTGAGACACACTTAACTTTTCATTTGAACCGAGGCAACAGTCTGATTACTAATTTTAGTATGAAGCGTATCGTACTACAGACATTATAGGCTTTCTTAGGAATCTCAAATAAAAATTCAAGATCATTGTTCCACAGGCCATTATTCGACAGATTTGACTACCAGTGATATTTTGCCAGTACTAGCAAAGTAAATATCCGTTTCGGGGAGTGAACCATAAGTTCGCCCAAAAAAATAAATTAGCTGTTTGGCTAAGTGGAGATCTTTCGAATTCATACTGAGCAGGTGATGTTATTTCACACTTGTGTAAAAATTTTGCAGTGATACTAAACTCAGGCATATAAGCAAGACCACCTCGTGCTGTGAAAAGTAGGTTTATCATCGACATATAAGGGCTGTCGAATAATTTCTTTCCTTTCCTTGATTTGACTCAGACTGAATTCACGATAGCTGATTCTAATGGTTTGTCCGCACTAAAATTCAAGTGACAAGCAAATCTAAAAACTTTTCGCCATCATTCTTGAATAGCTAAACCGATAATCCTTTGGCCCACTTAACTTTGTTGTCCTTTTGCCACGCTATTGTTGTTGGAATTTCCTCATACTCAAGTACTGGAATAATAATTTCATCCTTTATGTTTGAGTATTTGGCTACATGGTATTTCTCCATATATTTCACTGATTTCTTCGATCGGTTGGTTGGGTTATACAAATTCAGTATATCATCTGATCAAATATGACCTGAACTGACAAAAAATCTACATTTTCATGTACAAGTACAAATCTTTATTTCTTCAAAGTAGGCTCCTGAGACTTGTTATAAACCTCGTTTGGGATGGCCTTCACTGCTTTCTACGAATTAATGTTTTTTTCGGTTTCGGCTAACTTTTGGGGCCTATTCGCTTGATTGTGTCACAGTTTCGACGTCATATTCATAAACCAACGTTCTGTCAGTGTGGGGTCCTCAGTTACGTTGTCAATCATCTTTTTGGCGACCTCTACTCGACGTCAGTTTTTCAAAAGAGTTCGATCTATTGGTACGAGCTTAGCATTAATATGCTTCATTCCCAGAACAATAACCAAAATGTTTTGAGTCGGTCCATAGTGGATGTTGAGATTCTCTACTAGCTATCTGCTGTCAATACGACGATATTCAAGCACTGTTTTTTTTAACTTAGAGACTGCCAAGAACAAACTTTGTGTAATTAAATTTTGTAGGCCAATAAACTTTAGATGATCAAAAATATTTCTTTTTTTAGTGGATATGCTCGTACATATATATGTATGTATATTGAAATAGTATATTCTTATAGACCTATGTATTTACTTATGTTTATATATGTCCAAAAGTGCGTACCATATATATACATACTCATTTATATAAGTACACATACAAGTATATTATACGACATAGTATGTTCTAGTATTCCATAAGCGATCACAAAACGCTTTTATTTTGATTATAGCCTTTATATTGAGCTTCCTTCCGGTAACACCCATGAGCGTAGAGAAATTGCGCGCATTTTCTGCATTCAAACTTAACTATGTGCCAACAAAGGAAGGAAGGTAAGCTATTGTATTCTTCAAGAATGAACATACATACATACAAATACATACCTTATCAGTTATATATTCGTATATATGTAAATATATATATTTATATGCGTAGCAAAAGAACTTTACGTGTGTAAGAAAATAAGTAAATGACTGCGGCGGCTCCCGTGCGCATTCGCTTGCTTCTAAGCAGGGCTAATTTACTTGTTTTTGTTCCATTTCGTAGGTTTCTCCTTCATCCGCAACGGCACCTTTCATTTCAAAACAAAACGCAGTAGACAAAGTTACAAGGTAAGAACCACCACCTTTGCACAAGAAAAATAGCAGGAAAACCACCACCGAGCCGAGCAGCGCAACGCTGTCGTGCGCAACTGCAGAGTCAAGTTTGGCACGATCGACGATCGAGTGGAATCAGTTAGGATTCTACAGTCAAACGAATAGGAACTTTTCTACATTAAAGAAGAGGGTTTCCTACAGCGCCAGTACCGAAACAGTAACCGTGTGTGTTTTAGTGTTTTTTTTTGAACCAAAAATAGAAAAAAAGAAAAACTTTGTTAAATTATTACAGTTTTGTTTATTGAAATCTTTAAGTTTTTGTTTAAACTGTTGCTTGTTTTTTATTGAAAGAGAAATTTATTATTTTTGCTTAACTAAATGTGTGTTGAAACAAAATTACAATTTACACGAAACGCGCTTGAGAAAGGACACGAAAATTCGAAAAAAATATACAAGAAATTAAAATAACGGTTGCTAAGTACAATAAAAAAAGACATTTACAGACATCTTTCACGCAACAACTGTCACGCAACACACGAAATATACCAAAAACCAGCAACCAACTGCCTACAGACAAAAACCACCAGCCATCAACTAGCAACAATAACAGTAACAGCAACTACCGAAAAATGTCTTTTTCTAAAGCCAAACTAAAACGCTTCAACGACGTTGATGTCGATTGCGCCAACTCACCCGCAACCACGCGACTAGCCACCGACGCTGTCACAGTTAATACGCCGAGCAAATGTGTTAATGCCGCCACTGCCGCCGCCATCACAACCACCAACAACGCAGCGGCGACAAGCACAGGACACCCTGAACGCAAAGAGCAAATCGAGAAATTCTTTAAAGACGCCGTGCGCTTCGCCACCAACAACAAGGAGGCGAAGGAGTTCGCCATACCGAAAGATGGCGCAGTGAAGGAAGACAAAAAGTCCAAGGGTTTGCGACTCTTTCGTACACCATCGCTGCCGCAACGTTTGCGCTTTCGACACAATCCAACCGAGGCGAGTACAGTACATGCGGCTAACAATAACAATGGTGGTACCGGCAGTTCGACGCCCTTGCATTCGGCCACCACAACACCGGTGAAGGATGTGACCAAGTCGGGCGGTAGTCGGCTTAAAGGTAAAGAGGCGCTACAGCAAGAGATACGCAAAAAGAATGAGTTGCTTGAGAGTTATATGAGTCAGATTGATGTGCTCAAGCGTCATGTGGAACAGTTGAAGGAGACGGAGCAGAAATTGCGCGAGGAGAACGCTAGTGTTGTGGCGAAAACTGAAAATCTAATACATGCACTACAAACGGAAAATGCGGCGCACAAAGAGTTGAACGATCGGTTGAGCGCCGAAAATGTTGCGCTCACAGAGAGTTGCAACAAAACAGTGCAAGAGATGAATACGCTCATAGCGCGTCATAACGATGAGTTGGCGGAGTTGCAAGCTTTTATCGACGAGCTGAAGTCGCAGAATGCCACGCTGGAGCAACAAGCACAACAGCAATGTCTTGCAGAGCAAATCAAACAGCATAAAATTGACACTTTGCAGTTGGAAATTAGTGAGGCGCGCGAAAAGCTTGCAACGCACGAAGAGAGCGCACAGAAAGACACAGAGCTCATACAGAATTTGCGCAACACCAACGAGTCGCTTAGTCGAGACTTGGCTGAACTGAAGCTGCAAATCGAGCGCGACGCTTTGGCGTACGCGCAAGAGCACAAGATCACACAAAACGAAATGGAGTGTCTGAAAAAGGAACGCAGCACTTTGAAAAATGACTTGGCAAGCAAATGTGAGCTAATCAAGTCGCTGCAGGATGAGCTGTTGGATAAGAATTGTGAGATCGATGCGCATTCCGACAGCATACGTCAGTTGTGTCGCGAAAAAGCAAAGCTGTTGGAGAAAGAGCAACTGATCGAGACAGCTGAAGAGAAGGTGCGCAGCGTTGAGGAGCAAGCGGAACAGAAAGTGCAGAAACTCGAGTCTGATTTGGAGAATGCGCTCGAACGTGAGAAACAGTATTGGCGCGCCGAGCTCGATAAGCGTCAGAAGTTGGCCGAAAACGAGATCATAAAAGTGGAGTTGGAGAAGCAGGACGTCATGGTTTTGCTGGAGACCACGAATGACATGTTGCGCGAGCGCGATGAGAAGTTACAAAAATATGAAGAGCAACTACGCAATGGCATCGACTATTACATACAACTGACGGATACCTTGCAAAAACAAGTTGTTGATTTAAAACAAGATATGGCAAAAGTCATAACCGAAAAGTACAACTATCAATTAACTTTGAGTAATACACGTTCCACAGTCAATATATTGATGGAACGTTTGAAGAAATCCGACGCTGATGTCGAACAATTCCGCGCCGAACTGGAATCTGTACAGTTGGCTAAGGGCGCATTGGAGCAAAGCTATTTGACGCTGCAAGCCGAATTGGAGACGCTGCGCAATAATCACGCTGAAGCGGAAACCGCATTGAAGACACTATGTCAGTCTTCGCAAACACTACAACAAGAGGTATCTATTAAAGAGCACCTATTCAATGATATACTCACCTCGGAAGAGGAAACTTTGGCAAAATTCAATAAAATTGCTACCTCATTCCAGGAGCGCATCAATACGACAGATGTCGCGCACTACCTGGACTTGTACAATGAGCTGAAGCGCAAGGACGAATCACGTGAGCTGTATATGCAGGATATGAAGAAGGCATTGGACGAATTCGCAACCGTGATGCAATTTGCACAACTGGAACTCGACAGCAAAGAGAAGTCACTGCATAAGGTGCGCGACGAATGTGAACAACTGAAATTGGAGAATATCGCGCTCAAGTCCAAGGTCGAAGAGGGCATCACAAAGCGTGAGAATAGCACGGATCTGGAAAAAATCGAAGATCTACTCATCGATACTGAGTTGCGCGCTGAATGTGATAAGATCGCCTCCTGGCTATTGAGCTCATCCAGCAGCGATAAATGTGTACGCACCGAGAGCAGCAACGAAATTAACGATTTGCTAAAACCAACCACGCCGAATAGCACAAAGAAGACGCGCAGCTGCATGACACCATCATCACCCGCCAACAAGACGATAACATTATCAACCGCACCCGGATCTAATGTTGGCACACCACGTACGCCGCGCACGCCAAAGACACCGCGCACACCACGCACCACACCCAAGAAGACCGTACTCTTCCCCGGCAAAGAGAACATTTGCAGTCCGCAGAAGCAAGTGCTGAAGGCGCGTAATATGTAGACGGCTGTGGCTGACGAGACCAAGTCCACACATTGGTCATGATCGATTTCACTTATGTAAGGAACATTACATTGCTTGTAAGATTTATTTATTTTTTTTTTTTTTAATAAATAATAACTATTTAAAATTATGAAAAACGCTACTTTTCGAAATCGAATTCGTGTGAATTTTTGGCAGCAACGAGGGTTATAATCACAAAAAATCAAAACGTGGGAATTTGCTGTTGAGACGCGGTGCACAAAGGCAAACTCGTTCTTTGTAAAGGTATGCATCTGAAGAACTGAAGAAATCTCCGTTACATGAGCGCACAATTGCGCAATAAGTCTATGCCTGCCTGCCGCGCCGCTTTACTATCAGGCTTTGTAAGCACACAAAGGGGTGGGTAAACAAAATGCCGGGAAGCCAACTCCATACAAACATACATCACATACCGCCACAGTAATTTGAAAGGCAACAAAAACAAGAAATTGCGACACACTTCCGTTCGTCAAAGCAGCGCCTTTGTGCGGTTGGCAAGCGCTTGAAAAAACCCAACGACTGACTTGTGAAAGACAGCGTATACAATAACACTTGGGGGCAGTCAAGGAAGGAAGGCACAATTATATGTACATATGTATGTAAGAAATTTCGGCAGATGTTCTAATTGCTGTGCCTACTTTGGCATAATATGGCCGGTGTGTGTCGAGTTACAACGCAGCGGCGCATTAAGAATTCTTTTTCACACCAAAAGTCGCACGCCGCAGAATGACAGTTGCAGTTACGGTTCGTTTGCGCTGCACGTGTGCCTTTCGGAAAAGTCTCTTATTTTTTAATTACTCTGTCAGTATAATCATTACTTTACGATCAGCATTAGACAATGTAGATTTGGGTGGATTTGAATGGGTAAACAGAAGATTTTTGATTACAACGTGCGCACTTATAAGAGGCAGTTGATAACGTCACTTGACTAGGGTGGCAGAGTGACCGTTAACTTTAAAAAATTGCTTTGGTATTTAAAAACCGCGGGTTGAAATAATATTTTCAATGCGAAGAGCAACAATTTAAAAGAAAACAAACGATATCCTCATATGGGCGGAAGGGGTAGTGATGGCTATAATTAACTGTTATATAAGCGGACTTCTAAAATCATAAAATCCATCGGGCGTCTGCAGAATGCATTCTATAAGTTTCTACTCTCCATTCATCTTAAAAACCTTACCCAGAAGTAATGCGAAATCGGTACCGGGGCAAGAAAAAAAATCCATGATAAAAGGGTTAGTGTTTTAGTGGCTACACCACTCACGTAGGATATGGTGCGAAGGCATTTTAAACGCTCCTTGTTGTAGAAAAAAAAACAAAAAAAAACTCTTTTTACAGTTTGGTATTTTAATTTGGATCTTAGTTATAGCACTTTATAAATTTTCGCTTAATGGCATGGAGCGATTACGCTCATCTACAATATCAACTCGTCTCGTAATCATTTGTATATGTATATATAACTTTTCGTTGAGCATTGAATGTTGAGTAAAAATTTAATCAGTATTAATTTTTTGTTTTCCTGAATGAAGGTGGAATTCCAAATGATGTTATTGAAAATTTTCAATGCATTCGAACTCCAAAATTCGCAAAATTATGGCGGCACTGCTAAAGATCTATTTCCTGATTTTGAAATTTCTAGCTATTCAAATACGGGTTGATAGTAATCGATAATATACATAAAATGGATGCAGACGACTTTGTTGCTTGCGATGGGTAGTCGATATCTATTCGTAATGTGCTTTTTAGTATTCCGTTGTCTACTAAAGTTATACTCGCGCTATTATAGTTACGTATTGAGGTTTTTTTTCCAAATAAAATCTAGCTAAAAAAAAATTTAAAAAATCGAACATACATTATTTAATAAAAAACTTTAGCTGACAGTAATTTATCTGATTTTAAGATATTTTTTTGAACATTTATATATGCAAAAACACAAACCAACAGCATGCTTGACCGTTCTAAATCCTATTCGTTGTGATACAGAATCCTGAATGACGTTACTTTGCTTGAAGATTGTCTGATTAAATGTTGTGAATCTCGAAAGATTTTACTTTGAAGATTGTGGGCAATTTTAGACAAGAAAGTACATATTAGGTATTTACAAAATAAAGCTTCAGCTAAGTTATATATACATTTTGAAATATAAAAAAAAAAAAATGATATATAAAAAATATTTACAATAATCATCCCAACGCCCGCTGAATTTATACATTAATATTAATTAAACAATATGAAATGAATCAAATTTTTGTTTATTTTTCAGTAAAAATGTAAGTTCGTTATTATTATAATATTTGTAATTCATAATTAAACTAAAATTTATTTTAAAAAATATTTTAACAAAAAAACACGTGTTTTGAGCACTTTGATACACAGGGCTGCCACGTACTAAAATTCGTAAGGTTGCTAAATTTTTAAATTTTGTGTAATAGAAACAATATTATAATTTAAATTTAAAAAAAAATATTTAATTTAAATTTAAAAAAAAAATGTAATTTAATTAAAAAAAATATTTTTTAAAATAAAAAAAATATGTTTTATAAAAAAATTGTCTTTAATATAATTAAAAAATTCTAATTTAAATAAAAAAATTATTTAGTTGAAATTAAAAAATCTATTTAAGTTGAACAAAAAAAATTTAGTTTAAATAAAACAAAAAAAGTTTTTAAATAAAAAAATACTTAATTTAAATTTAATAACTTGTAAATAAAGGTAAATTAAAACATTTTTTCAATAAATTAAAACGAAATATTTTTTTAATAAAATAAAATAATTTTTTTAAAATATGTTATACTTAATAAATTACATTAAAATTAAATTAAATAAAATATATGTATTTTTTGCAAATAAGTTACAAAAACTATATACAAAACAAGATTAAAAATTCACAACCTCTCTCACTATAGACGGTAGCAGTTTACGTAAATGGATTGGACTCGGATTTAAACCGCTCACGCCTATCGTCTCGTCAGCAGTGGAAAGTTGTATATTGCTGCAACAAAAATAATAACTGTTATCACGAAAATTAAAAAAAAAAAGAATTAATTTAAGTACATGTGTTCTTAACTACACGAAAAAAGACTTTTGAGGTTATGTTGCGTTCTAAGCAAATATAAATACAATTAATATAAAAAAGGTTTCTGAAAACAAGAAATTAGGTTTTGATCGAAGAAATTATCAGCTTCTTTTAAGCGAATATAAATACAATTAAGAGACACAATTTTTACAAAGCAAAAACTTTAGATTGGATCGAAAAAATTATCAGGCAATATAGTCAATTGCAGCAAATAAATACTAAATGTGTCAACAAAGTAGATGTAAAAAGGATTATTTTAAAAACTGTACTCATTTTTTAAAAATTACAATTAATCTCGTCGATTTCAGCAATTTCGACAAAATCAGTACGTCGGACAGCCCTATATTTGGTACATACATACACATTATCTAATATCAGTAGCATAAATTATTGTATTGTTTTAGATATATATATAATATATATATATATGTATGCCACGTAAGAACATCTACATTAACATATATACTTATTTAACTGTTTGTCTTTTATATACTATGTATATATGCACGTGCTTTGTTTTATAAACTTTTAAATACATTATAAACATATGATTAAAATATTAAGCCTTCATATTATTCGTTATTTCATTTAAAAAAATGTGGTGCATTTTATTTATTTTTTTTTTCGTACACTATATATAGGTATGTATATATAAATGTCTGTATATATTGTTACGCAGTGATAAAATGTTCAAAAAACGTTTACATAAATTACAATTACTACCTTTTATATCGACATAATAACGCGTGCATGAATGCAAATACAGTTTGACTCGCCCTTTACCGGTTTTGCAAAAACAACAAAAAAAAATGAAAAAATGAACAAAAAGTAAAATACAAATACAAAAATAAAAATAAAACCAAAAATAAAGTACAAAAATAAAAATAAAAAAAAACCAAAAATAAAATACAAAAATAAAAAAAAAACAAAAAAAAAAAAAAAAACAAAAAAAAAAATACAAATACAAAAAAAATAAAAAAGAACAAAAAAAAATACAAATACAAAATAAAGTGACCAAAATAGATTAAAAAAAATTACTAAAACTACAAATAACATAAAAAAAAATTACTAAAAAATTTTAATAGCTACAAAAAAAGAGATAAGACCAAATACAATAAAAAAAAAACAATATAATATAAAGAAATATTACAAAAAATTAAATAAAAAAAGAACTGAAACTAAAAAAATTGGAAAAAATAAATAGCTACAAAAAAAAAAATCACATATAAACAAATAAAAAAAATACAAAAATTAAAAACATAAATAAAAAAAATTTAATAAAATATTAATAGTTCCACTTGACAGTCATAAGTTCATATTGCGTGCCATTTCGCTAAATAAAAGTATTCTCAATAATCATAGGAAATAATAATAAGTTGCACAACGGATTTTCTAAAACAAAAAGTAAAAATTTAATTATGCTCACAATAGCCTTTACAAACATAAATATATGTACTTTTATTTATAATAAGTGCGTTGCTTTTAACCTTAAGCGAAATTAGCAATTAATTCTATTATCAAAAACATTAGAAAATAATTTTAATTTGAATAAGTAAATTAATTGCTAAATATTATAATATTTTTTTCTCGCTTGCTACAAACGAGTTTTTCGTTACACGAATCTTTTTATACATATTTTTTCTTATTAAATTGTCCTCAACATTTTCCTCAGCAAATTTTTATAAGTCAGCAATTAAACGAATAGGCATACGAAATTATTGGCCTAGGTGGCGTAGGTATATAGATATTTGAGAATCTGACAAGCTTCTAGCATTCTCCACGCAGGATTCGCAGCAAAATAGCTCATTCGCAGAATACAATAAATCTTCTAAACTATGTTTTTGTTTTATATTGTGTATATACGTTTGTATTTATATGTATAAACAGCAAATACATGAATTCGTTTTGTTTGTATGTAAATATCTACGAGCGTAAATGTAAACTACGCAGTCCGTTTTCAAATCGTTTACTACCAAAAAAATTGTTTTACTTTTAATCAGCAATTTTTATCTGTTTGTTATACATATTTATATCATAATATTGTTTTTTTTTTCATGTTGCTTTTTGCACATTTTCCTTTAATTGTTTATTGTGGCATCTTTATTGTTGTGTCCATTTTCAATGGTTTTAATATTATTGGCAAGATGCGATTGTTGTTGCGATTGATTTTGTTGTTTGAGTTTTTGTTTTTGCTCCAAAACTGACTTGTACGTGTAGAGCGACTGTAGTGGCACATGTAATAACTCAATGATTTGTGTGAAATGAACTTCTGCAAGAAAAATGAAAAGTGAAATATAACTTAAGTAAGCAATAATACAAGATTTTTAGAGTTAAACTAATATAAAACAAAAAATGTAACTAGTAATAATAAAAAACTAAATTACAGTAAGCGCAGATCATTAAGCTCTGTAAGCTTAATATTACCTTATATAATACTAAGAAAAACATTAACCTAACCTCAAATATTAAAAAATAATAAAAAATTCTAAATTAAATTTAGAAACAAGAAAAAATATTAACTTCGGCTGCTCCGAAGCTACAATACCCTTCACAGGTGCATTTCGTATTGCATAAAAGGTTATAAAAAGATTTTTATCTGATGATATTTTTATTATTGATTGTATGGCTATATGGTTTAGTGCTCCGAACTGAACAATATCTTCGGCTATTGTACCGTTGTTTTGGACAATAATCTATATCAAATTTCGTAAAGATAATTGGTCAAAATAAAAAGGTTTTTCAAACAAGGACTTGATTTTATCCGTTCAGTTTATATGGCAGCCTTATTCTATAAGTGTGCGATCTGCACAATTTTTTCGGATATTGTACGGTTGCCTTTCACAATAATTTATTATCGTGAATGTATCTCCTCAAATGAAAAAGTTTTACATACAAGCGCTTGATTCCGATCGTTCAGTTTGTATGGCTGCTATATGCTATAGTGATCCGACCTAAACTATTTCTTCGGAGATTGCATCACTGCTTTAGACAATAATCCACGCCAAATTTCTTGATATCTTATCAAATGAAAATGCTTTTCATACAAGCACTGACAGCTAGAAGCGATATTGGCTGTTCCGACAAATATGCATCTACTTGGTGAAAAAAGGATGGGTGCAAAATTTCAGGTCGATATCTCAAAAACTGAGAGACGAGTTCGTATATATACAGATTTTTTTTGGAGGGGAAAACCTAATATACACTTTTCAAGGCATAAAAACCATTAACATAACCTCACAAATTAAAAAAATCTCAGTTAGTAACTCAGTAAACGCAATAAATGACTATTTTTAAACAAAACAAAAAAATTATTTTACTCACCATTTTCAGGCGTTATATAGCCATGTCTGATTAGAAAATCGATAACCACCGGACAGCTGGTTGTCTTGAAATCTTGTGTAAATACACGTTCCACACACTCTTTGGCTGGTAATAGCTCAAAAGCTTGCACCTCACCATCAGCATTTTGTGGTACAAAATCCAATGGAAGCTCTAAATCGAAAACATATTCGGTATTTGGGAATAAACCTTGATCACTTTCGAAAAAGAATGAAACACAACCGGCTGAAACGAGATTTTTGACCAGATCACTTGGAATGGATGCCTCTTCAGCTGCCTCTTTAATAGCAGTCTCTTTAATGCCATAGCCCACCGATAAACCGCCGCCAACCATATTATCCCATTTACCCGGCCATGTCTCTTTGGTATTAGAACGTTGTTGTAGCCAAATACAAAGACCTTGCGTTGGATGCTGTACATAACCATTTATATCTACACCATATTTACGTACACCAAATAATGGTGTGGCCGAACGATCCATTTTCAATAGGCTACGATATTCCGATTTCACTTCATAATACTGTAAGGCATTGAAAATTGTTTATTGTACATAAATGCAATTTATATGATAAACAAATTGGTAATTACCTCATCACGCCAACCTTGGAGTGCGGAAAAAATGCCCTTAGAACGTAAATCACGTAATACTATATCGACTTGCTTTGTGCGTTCAGCATAGTCACGGAATGCAGGATTTAATTCGACTATACCCTGTTGAAAGTATGTTGTTTAAATTAGTATTTTAATTTGAAAATTATTGCTAATATTGTGCATTTACCTGTTTGGTAAATTCACAATTGCGTATGCAGAATATTTCGGGATAGCGTTGCAGCTGCTTGATGACATCGGCCTTGACAAGACCAACTTGTTCGCCTTCAACCAGGAATGGACGTATGTCTCCCTTTTGAAAACCTGCAACGAAATGTCGATTAATTTATTTAAATTAAAACAAAATCAATAATGTGCAATTTTTATAGACACACATAACTAGTAATAAGTAAAAACCAGTTACTGAAATTCGAGGGAAGAAAGAGAGAGAGAGACTTCGGATGTTGGTCTATGCAAATTTTAACTTCCAAGCTATAAAAAGTATTTTAATTAGTAATTTAATATCGTTTGTACAATAGCATATTAGTTAATACAAATATACCGTTTGTTTACAAAATCGATACTTAAAAGTTATCAAAAAAAGAATAAACTTAAGTTCTTGTATACACAACTTTTTTATTTGACAAAGATATCTTCACGAAATTTGATATAGAATATTGCCGAAGACAACGCTACAATCTTCAAACAAATTGTTCAGATCGGACCAGTGTTGCATAAAGTTGCTGTACAAACTGACCGTTCCTAAACAAATTCTTGTATGGAAACTTTTTTATTTGAAGAGATATTTTTACGTAATTTGCTATAGATTATTGTTAAAGGTACGCGTACAATATTCGAATAAATTGTTCAGATCGGACCAGTATTGCATATAGTTGCCATACAAACTGACCGATCAAAATCAAGTTCTGGTAGGAAAACTTTTTTTATTTGTGTACGGTATTATAGTTTTAGTTTTTGTTTTTTTAATTTTGTTTTTTACCAAAAACACAATAGCAAATGCGATAAGGTACATACATATGTATAAATATATATATAGATAGTAGTATACCTTTGGTCAGTTTTTTCGGCAATAAGAATGGCCAAACAAAGAGAAACAAGCAAATTAATTGTTTATAAACAGCCACTTTGCACATAATAGATGCGAATAATAAACAGTGAGGAATTGTAAAAATATATCAATCAGATACGAAAAGTAACAAATAAGTGCGCAAAAGCCATTTAATCAAACGTTTTCGAAGTATAAAGTATAAACTGTTTTAAGTCGCAAAGTAAGATAATTAGTTATTACTGGGTAATAAATTGTTAATTTTTTTTAAGCTTTTTACTACAAATACATATATGTTTTTATATACATATAATTGCAATCAATCGTGCTACTTACAAGAATTTACAATAGAATTATATTCTATACTTTTCAGCAGCTGTCGTGAGCGGTAACCATTCAAGTTCTAATTATAAAATGATTTATATGCATTTATTTATTGAATAAAAATTGCAAATTTATAAAAAAAAAAACTCATACCGTCAGGGTTAGTTAATATTAAATAGTTACAGCAGACATATTTATTATTTTAATAAAAAATTTTGCTTATAATATCTCACAATAATTATTATATTATTATATAAGAAAATTAATTTAGCCTCAGCAACATTATAGCAACCCTTTCAATATCGTTAATTACGTTTTTGTTCACAATTCTATTAATGAACCATCTCTTTAATAGCTTTTTTACATATACAAGTACTATTTATACTCGACACACAATCTGTGCAGATCCTCGCGATAAAAATATGTATGTTTCTGTTATGCATATTCAACGTTTTGTCTATTTGTGGTCAACACATATGTATATTTATGGTATGTGTACACTATACAATGTCAAGCTCATTCAAGGTGACTGAGAAAATTATAATTGTTGATGGCGCCAAGTATAGTGAACAAAGTTATAGGTCCTTCTTCCGGATGCAATGCTATTGGTCTGGTGGAAGTGTTGGCCGTCAAGTGTGTAATTGAGTTTAGTTTTACACATATATACTTTCTATGTACTCAGTTTGTAGTTGTCAAAGGCAAACACGCTAACAAACTTTATTTGGCAGCTAAAGATAATGAATGCACTCTCCATGCCAATGTTTGAAGCTTTGTGTGTACTCAAGCACATATGCATTGAATGTACGTTACTCTATGTGCCAACTGTGCCAGGCGACGTCATGTAGAATTATGACTCACAATTGCGACTTGATCGCATCTAAGGTGTGAGTGAAGATATTTACTTTACTTTTACATACATTAGTGGATCAGGTGTACGAGTATCTACGTTTTATTGATTTATTATAAAAATTGATGTGTAATGTAAGATAATTATTGTTAATAAATAATAATTATATTAATACCTCTAACTTTTTTATATCAACCGCAAAATGTCTAATGGATAGCATAGAGATCATAATGCGTACCATAACACTTATGTGGCATGAAATATAATTACTATATATGTGTATATACTAGCTACCCCAAATGTTTGTATTGTATAATGAATTAAATTTAGCGTATCATTCATTTATTCGCTCAAATTCGGCATAATATGATTTAAATGAAAGTGAAGCGTCAAATATTGATTAGCGAAAGTCGGAAGCAAAATATGCGAAATAACCGCAATCAAAAAGATTACACGCAAAAATAATGCAAAACGTATATATGTTATAAATATATTAATGCATTTTTCTACACACATAAGTACATGTGTAAATACTTGTAAATTAACACATAAAGATAGGGCAGACAGGCACGCGAATGGCCGTAGATAATTACATACATATCTTTCACGATGATAACAACCATATTAGAAAATTTATTCAAAAAGAAAAAAAACAATCTAAATCGAGTTTGAATGCAAATATAAAACAATTTTTTTAATTATACAAGAAATGAGGATAAGTGGAAACGAAGGTTTATTAAACAATGCTTTTTGTGTAGAATGCCATTTGGAAAAATATATATATGTACATATGTTAAGAGCTATCCAGCAATGTGTACCGATGTGGTTGATGTGAGCACATCTACATTAATTAGTGGAGATTCTCGATTTTATCCTTTTTTCACACTGAACTAGTTATGTATATGCCACACTGTGGCTGGCCACACCCAAGAGCTTAAAACATATAAATTTTAGAATTAAATTAAGACATGATATGTATTTATTAAAAATTATAAAGTATAATAACATATTATATATTTAAGTAATTCGCGACAAAAATATAACTAATATCACACTGTAAACATATGTGTTTTTAACGAGTGTTACGATAATTTCATATAAAATATATGTATGTGCATATATAGTTTTCACATAAGTATATGGATGAAGTCAACATAATCAGGATAATAGCTATATTGCAACATTCTTTATAATTCTTTCAAAAGTTAGAACAATATAATATTGTCCTAGTTCACCATGAAATATTGTTATATGCACACATTTTTTTCGTTTCTTGTGCTGCTATACATACCCGAAGGACAATCTGATCTGAATTGTACATACATACTAACATTGAGTTTGTACACAAATCGATGAAAGGATGTGATTATAATTGCCCGTGGGAATTCGGTGCATTTTATATATGCTTTATAATTACTGCTGTACAGTTTCTCACTTTTTCTTTATTATTTATATGCGTTATCGGTTTTTAAAACTAATATGTATGAATGTTTTATATGGCATACCTGTCAAGTAGAAATTGTTAAACTTCTGCGCCAAATGATAAAGTCGGGACAATTTTACATTTATATCAGTTGAAGCCATCGCCAAAAAACCCAGCTTCTCCACTACGCCACTCACGGAACTTTCGCAATGCCTTTATGTAATTTTTCAGTTCCTTCGAGTCTTTTATAAATCTCACACAATGTAATTCCTATTTAATCGCACCGAATTTCATCAGCAATAAAGATGAGAACAACCAACACATCAGAAAACAACTGACTGGTGGGATGAGAATTCGGTTTGTCGAGAACAGTTCGCCGCTGCCACTGCCAATTGTCACTATTCGTTTTGACAGCATATCAATTGTTTTTGTATCATATTTATTTTTTTAAATTTTTTTATTTTACTAAAATTTTTTTTTAATATATTTTATATATAATATAATATATTATTTTATTTAACATTTTACGTTTGTCATTCGCTCAAAATAAATATTTCTTTAAATTTTTTATTATTATTTGTTCACAATGCCCAATTGCACCAGCTGTGAATGAATCCTATTGACATTTTCGTTAAGTTTCGGCGCACATGTTCATGACGTTTGCTGTCATCGCCGTCGGGTTGAAAAGAACTAGAAAAATATTACAACTTAGCACCAACTACAAAATATAGGCAAAATTCTTACAGAAAGTTGAGTTTTTATAATCTCTTTAAGTGTACAAATAACAATGAGTGAAGACTATTTGAGTCAACCAATTTCGTTGGGGTCGTCATCATCAGGTAAGCGCTCCTGCTGCATAACACGGTATACACAATATACAGGGTGTACATTACGCAATTATTGTCACCTAGTGTGTAATTGCATTTCATATAAGTATTGATATTGTATGAATATAAGTGATTTTATTGTCTTAAATAGCGGATGAGACACGTACCAATCGTTCGAGTGCAGCAACCAGCACATTCGGTACACCCATTTCTCCGTATTTGAATTATAACCCGCGTTTGTTGCAACAAACACAACCAGAATTTATTTTTCCGGAAGGTGCTAATAAGCAGCGCGGACGTTTCGAATTGGCTTTTTCACAAATTGGAAGTTCAGTAATAGTGGGTGCAGCGATAGGCGGTGTAGCTGGCTATTATAATGGTATGAAAACAACGGCGGCATTACAACAAACAGGCAAACTGAGGCGAACACAGTAAGCTTAATATAAAATTTTTATATTTGATGTATTTTACTGATAAAAAAATATTTTTCATTTTAGATTACTTAATCATGTGTTGAAACAAGGCTCTGGCACCGCTAACACTCTGGGGACACTCGCCGTCATGTATTCAGCGTTCGGTGTACTTCTGCAAAATGTTCGAGGAGAAGACGACGATATCAACACGATTATTTCCGGCACAGCAACTGGACTGTTATATAAATCGACAGGTTATTAAACAAAACATATTATTTTGTAACTAATATATTAAATACATATTATTTATTACAAAACAGCTGGGCTTCGGAAATGTGCAATTGGCGGTGGTGTAGGCCTAGGCGTAACAGCTGCGTATTGTCTGTTCCAATTGATGCGATCAAACTCAAATGGTTCTGGTTTAAAATTCCTGTAAATCTATATGAATTGCATAAAAGCTGAACTGGACTGTAGCATACTGACTGCGAATATTTATATATACGATTAGTGGTTAGCTGCTGGTAGCGACTAGGTAACTCCATATAGTGGAGATGAGTGGAGTTGCGTTATTCCCCTATGTAACGCGCTCAAACGTACATAGCAAATTTAAGTTGTAAGTTTTCCTTGCTTTATAACTTTTATTTTATATTATTATTAGTAATTAGAATGTGATGAGTTAAGTTGAACAAACTAATACCGAAGACACTTTGCTTAATAAGCAATTATAATAGTACAACACTATAAAAACAAAAATTCACATAAAATTCTTTGTGCATTCAACAGAAGTGTGTTTTTTTTTGCCAAGTGTTTACATAAACTTAAAAAAATAGTTGTACAGAAAATCATAGAAATATAAAATTAAAAATGATCACACTGAAATAAAACGAAACGTTTTGTGTATGTCAAAACAAGAATTGCGAAAAGTATTTTTTATTTTAAAATAAAATGTTGAGGTTTAGTGATTTCAATGAGTTAAAAATTAAAGCTATTAAATTATAAGTTGTGGTATAATGTGTGCGTTAATGCATGTAAATATAAAATATGCAATTTTTGCATAATAGAAAAACGAAATTTTGAAAACTTCTCAAGTTTTATTTGCTAATACACAATGTTTACTATATACTATTTATATTTACATATTATATACCATATACCATATATGTATTAATTATTAACGCCCTGCAACGCTGCCCCTATGTTTTTCCATAGTAATGATTATAAAATAAGCGGTTAATACAGACGTTTAAATTTAGTTGCATAATCTGAAGGCATCCGAAATGTTTACTGTTGCATCCAGTCACTTTAAAATGTAGTGTTTTTTTTTCATTGTATATATTTTGTTTTTAAAAGTTCTACATTGCTGCCCTCAATTTATTACAGACAGCAACCGATAGTAACAAGCTTATAGTAAATTGATATTTATATAATTTAATAATATAAGGCATTATGTAAAACCGAAAAACGGAAATCTGCCAATCATTGATCTGACTAATCAACAATTGATTCTTTGCTTAAATTTAATAATCTAAAACATCTGAATCCGAACCAGTTAAAGCTAACACCTTCATGCCGGACTTCTCATCGATTATATTGTTCACCGGCGCTTCGCAACTGGTATCCAAAGTAGAACATGTATGACAATGACAACTACCAGCCTCCATATACTCATAACGACGCGTTTCCTACAGCAATAGTGCATGCAATAAAGTAAAAAAAAAAATTATATATCCATGCCAATATATAGCTTTATTCACCTCATCGGCTTCCGGATGGCAATTCCGCAACACTGCTACAGCCGGTTGGCGTGTAGCATGTACACAAACGGGATGAAAAGAGCGTTTGTATGGGAATTTCCAATCGGAAATCTCACTGGAGTCGCAACGACCCCAACAGGAACGTACGCTCACATAATCCCAACACTCACGACCCAGTGCGTCCGCTTGTGTGATGCGGTATGTATAGAGCCGCTGATGACAGCCGAGTGGTGCTGCTGTGGGACTGCTGTCGATCGGTTGTGCTTCCAGTAATTGACTCAGTGACGGTGTGGCAATTGTAACGCAAGCGACGAGTGCAAATGTATTAAAATATTTATTCTATATGCCAAAAAATTTTTATGTAACCGTTATAAAAAACAAATTTATATTTAATAATGTATGCGTATGTATGTATGTTGTGTTCGTACCATTTCAGTGACCGTTTTACGCTTATGATGATAGCTCGTTGCGGCGCACAGTGGCGAGCTGTTATGCAGAGCAGCGTAGAGAATGAAATGACTTGTATTTGCCTGTTGCGCCAGTCTTTTATACGTGTTAATTTCATTTATTTTGTCTATATACAAGTATATTGTTAAGAGCAAGCACGAAGCATTGTTGGCAAATCCTGTTGCGCGTTTAAGGACAAATGTGTGGATCATCACAACGTTTCGATGTAAATACTTTAAAGGGGAAATTATACAGTTGAAGAGCTTGCAGACTCTTCTCGGCTTTGTTAGTCTAATAATTTGTCATTTAGGAGCATATTGTTGTAGTTCAACAATGTTAAATGATGTTCTGTTAAAAAACGTTAACTTCGGTTGCACCGAAGCTAGAATACCCTTCACAAATAAATAAGGTTTCCTTACAAGAACTTAATTTTATTCGGCCGGTTTGAATGGCAACTACAAGTATATGCTATAGTGATTGGATCTGAACAATTTGTTCAAAGACTGTGCGATTGACTTTAACAATAATCCATGTCAATAAAAAAGTTTTCCATACAAGATATTGATTTTGTTCGTTCAGTAAGTATGGCAGTTATACGCTATAGTGGTCTGATCTCAAAAACTTATTTAGATGTTGTAGCATTGCCTTGCGACAGAAATCCATGCCAAATTTCGTGAAAATATCTTGTCAAATAAAAAAGTTTTCCTAACAAGCACTTGATTTTGATTGTTTAGTTTGTAAGGCAGCGTCATGTCGTGGGCAAATTTTCAGAACGATATCTCGAAAACTGAGGGACTAGTTCGCGTATAAACAGACAGACGGACATGGCTAAATCGACTTAGCTTGTCACACTGGTCATTTATATATAAGTATATATTTTATAAAGTCTCCAACATTTCGTTACGGGTGTTACAAACTTCGTGGCAAATTAAATATACCCTGTGCAGGTGTGTTGCACGACTATCGGGTCTACGTAACCGGAATGCACCCGGAATTTTATCCGGCCAAGGACTGTCAACTCGGCAGCATTCCTATAATTATTTCAGGGATATTTTCTACCGTTACAACAACAACAGTATTACCAGAACTAAATTTGAGTTCCAACAGCTTTATGGCTCGGAGGTCAGTTGTAAAGTCGATAACTGAAATTTTACCTTGAAACCGCGCTCTTTTCTGATATCAATGACAAGCTCTTTAAATGACCTTTCAATCCGGTATGAGCACGCCCTCAATCTCTAACAGTGTCATAGTTTCAAATTCTTTCTTCATTTTGGGCTATAGTCGTTTAAGTTACCAAACTTTTATTAATTTTGATTTTTTTTAAATATCACTAAATATAATTTTGTACAATTGCGTGAAAATTTGGTCAACATTACATTCAATGCCAAATTATGTAAAAAAGTAGAAGTTAAAAAATATCATCGTTTTTGCTCGTGAGCAATTCTTACACTCTCCGTTCGGTCATACGAATGCATTCGTTCATCGTCTACCATAATTATTCACCCACTTATAACTTCGATATCACTCAATCCGTTGTTGTCACTACTGCCAAGCGCTGAAATTTTGTCATCAATTTGAATATGTTCCTTTCCTCATTAATTTATTTCGATTTTTTAAATCAGTATATACGTAACCATATGTGTGCGTTTTGGTTTGTTAAGATTCGTCTTATGTATCCAGCTTTCATACCTCACATATTTGCTGTTTGTGTACATACTTCGGTTATGTATCGTTTTGACATGGTTTTGTATTCATTCATGGAATTAATTTTTGTTATGTATTTTAAATTTTACTGTCACTTCTTGAAGATCAGCTGATCCACTTCATAAAGCAGCTACCCGAATTTGGTTTCATTTCACAGGCATTGGTAGCGCTTTTTTAATTTGTTAAACTTGCTTCTCAAGCGCGTCGTCGTATCTCATGATGTGAACCGAAACGTTGCGCTCGCAATTGTACGCGAAACCGCCGATTCGGATCGGGCCGCAGATCTTCGTGACGATCCTCAATGACTGGTGCGAGTGCTGCCGCTGCGGTAATATCTATACCAGCTGCATCTTCCTCATCGTCGGCATCGTCATCCTCATTTGGACTATCGTAATCGTCCATAGCTGCATCTTGCGCCTCCACTGAGGCATTCGACATAGAGATGGTCTCCGCATCGCGTGCCATAGCGCTTGCCAGCAGTCGCTGACGTCGCTCCTCCATCAAACGATGACGCTCCTTGTGTATGTAATCACGTTTATTCGGCAAGCCGGCTACATTGTTGGCCGTGAGCGCTGAGCGCACCACATTCATGTCGGTAGCTTCCATCCTGTGTTTAGAAACGCAATTATTTGTACAAAATAAAGTTTAGACCTACTTATAAGTAACTATTTTCACTTACCACTCATCGGTCTCGGCAACATAGCATTCGGTATGTGAAATTGTGGACACGCCATTGAAGCCGCCTATGGCGAAAATCATATCATCTATTATTTCAAGTCCGAAATTACTACGCGAATGATTCATTTCGCGTATGAACGACCAGGTTTGTGTATCGGGATCATAACGTTCACCTGTGGAGAGACGCGCCGTGCCATTAAAACCGCCAATCACATAGAGTTGTCCACGAAAAGCCACACAAGATACGCCCGAGCGGCGATGATTCATATTCGGTATACGTGTCCAGATATTGTTGCCAGGATCATAATATTCCGCGCTATCCAAACACTCTTGACCATTAAAGCCGCCTACATATTCGCATATAGAAGATACTCGTTACTGGAGGATATACGAACTCATGGTAAGCAAAAAAGTACGAATGTAAAGTAGAGAATTGTTCACACACACACATTTGTTCACAGTACTGTCTCAACAACATATTGTCCAGTAAGGACAAGCAGATACAGCCTTAGAAACCAGTAGACTAACTATTCTAATGTCTTTATACATATTTCTAAGAATCGGGGTCGGGGTTTTTAGGCTTATAACTTTGATCAACCTGCACTTCCTTTATGTCATTCTAATAATAAAAGGGTCTTCGTAGTACAACTTTCACCTAAGTTCAGTACCTACTTGTATTTAGCTGGAGTTTTAACCATCGTATTTAATATAGTATCAAAAAAAATCGCTAATATAAAGTTCTCGAGGTTGATACCCCTGAATGTTGTTGTTGTAGAGGAAGAAAGCATTCCTGTAACAATTTTGAAGAATGTTGCCGAGTTGGCAGTCCTTGGCCGGTTAAAAATCCGGGTCCGTTCCGGTGACGTAGACCCTACTGTCGTTGGAACGTCTTTTTGTACTGGTTGTTTACTTTTGTGAATGATGAACTTTTGTTGCCCTTCTTTGAAGTCACTTTCGATAGTCTAACGGCTGTTTCGTTGCATTTTTTTTATACGAAAAGAATTATGCTACCCTGAGCTCGCTTGTTAAGAGACTAGAAAACCTTATATATAATACTGGGCGTCCGGGGTTCATATTACCGTGGTAGTAGTGTTATAGGGGACTCAGTCGGGGACGGTGATATTGATACTGACATTTGAAAGCTCCAGTTTTACATTGCCCAATGACAAAGTTTGTCATAAAAGAGAAATCCCAAATTTGAAAATTTAATTCGAAAAGTTTTCAGTTGGTTGGAGCCGAACTCCAAATAAGCCACTGAAAAAACAATACAAAGTTAATGCATAACCTAAAATAAAAGCAATTTCGCTTTCACTTTACTCCTTCTTAATTTTTTGCCTGTCTTCTACATTTTTTTTTACATACTTTTCCAAAGTAATAAAAATAAAAATGCAAATCTTTTCTTAAAATAAACCTCTTAAAAATAAACGTGACTAATTTCGAGTGCGTCACTAAAGCCAGCAACCCTCTGTCCATACTTTCACTCACCCGTTGCATAAATTTTCCCTTTTAATGTGCATGCGCTTGCGTCAGATCTTTGCATATTCATAGGCGTTATAACGGTCCACTGATTCGTTTTCGGATTGTAACGCTCGACTGTATTCAAACGATTATGACCATCGTAGCCGCCGATTGCGTAGATAAGACCGTTAAGCTCAGCGACGCTAACATAGCAGCGACGGCAGTGCATTGGTGCAATCTAAATGGAGCAAAAAGAGTAAGTATTAGAAAAAAAATAAATTTAAATAATGTTTTTTAAAAATCAAATGGAACATAGCAAGTTTAAGAAGGAGCCCAGATTTTTAGTAATCTCCATATTGTCTTCATTTAAGGGTTTTTGGTTGGTCAACAGGCTTCGTTACTATTACTACTTCTGCATCCACCTTATAGTACGGGCTTGGCACCATTTACTGCCTGTTGTTGGCTTTGGATAATGACTTTGCTGGTGAAAAATTCACCATAAGAGAAGCTTGCGAAAATCGACTTTCAACGCTTTTTGCCAGTGGGCTAGGTAAAACTGTCAAATGTCATAATACTTGTAAACAAAAATATTCCTCTTATTTCGTCGTTGACGTCGTGAACTAAAGCATTATTGTGTCAAACGCTTTAAAAAAAAAGTAACGGTACCAAACTGTCAACTCTATTTATATAATTTTGACTATGCACACACCCGTTAAGTGGCAGTTGAAGCTCGAGGGCGCAATTTTTATAATTAAACACTTTTTTTTACGCCTTTAGCTAACTCAATCTATTGGATCGAATATAGTATCCTGTCAATATGATTTCAAATTACTTTGTCACTCACCTCCTTCCAATTCTTGCGTACCGCATCGAAGACCCGACACGTATTGAAATATTCAACACCATCATAGCCACCAATCGAATAGATTTTATAACCGATGACAGCGGTGCCATGATAAGCACGCGGTCCGGCTGGATCTTCGGCCGGTATATTCACCCAACGATCGGCACGCGTATCATAAGTTTCGATGCAACCCTTCGATGTGCCGCCACTCCAGCCGCCAATGGCGAAGATGACCTCATGCGGCAGACGTGGCATGGCTAACGGTGGCGTGGTGAGCTTTTTGGAAAATGGCATACGAAATGGCACATATAAATTAGAGCTGAATGAAGTGACAGAGAGAAAGAGAGAAAGAAAGAATAGATAATTGGTAAATACCTCGCCCGATGATGGATTCATTATATCCAAATCATA